AATTTTTTAAAATATTTTTTAAAAACAATGTGCATTGCCACCAGCAACACACTTGGGTATGTGGCTTTTTTCATCGTAGAACATAATTTTTGACGTTGTTGATTTTTTAGGTGAAAAACAAAAGGAGGTGTTTACAGTTGGATGGAGTTTGGAGAGAGGACTAGTAATCTAATTACTAGAATAATAGGGCCTTGAAAGGGCTCTGAGAGAACTAGGATCTAAAGGCCTTGGGGGGAAATGAGAGGAGGGTGTGGTGCCAGGAGACGGGCGTGAGCAGCTGTCTGTGGAGCCCCTCCTCTGTGCCAGGAGAGTGCCAGCTTCTCTTCTCACATTGTGCTCTGTGATCATCTCACTCTTTCCAGGTAGGGGAGAATCCAGTTGAGGAACCTGAGGCCCAGAGAATATAAGTAACTTGCCCTATGTTACTTAAGCCTCCAGGACAATATGAAACCTGACCGCAAACCTGAATCTGTTTGAGTCTAAACCCTATTATTTTCCCACCCAGAACAAAAGGAAGTACCATTTGAGACCCAGTCCATAAAAGATGGGCGGGTGGAATTTGGATAGTTAGAGACATCGAGGGCCTTTCAGAGGCAGGGAAACGAGATCTCAGTCTAGCATAGGTGAAGAGCCATTGAGCGAGGGAACACTGGAGCCAAAGAAGCTCAGCTGAAGTTTGCATCGAATCTGAGAGGCAATGGGCAGTGGTCACAGAAGCCAAGCTGAACATTAGTCCTGCAGCCCCGACTGCACACTGAGGCTTCAGCTGTGTTCCTCTTGGGCATCTCCAACCAGGTCTTCCCAGGACCTGCCCACCCTGGAGGTGACGCCCCTGAGTTGGACTCTGCTCCCTAACCTTCCTCAGCCCCCGACACATCTGAGTTGGTGGGGAGCATGTGAAGGATGGAGATTCCCAGGCCTACCCTGCAGATCCTAGAGAATCATTTTGTGAGGCTGTCCCTTCCCGCTGTTACCCGTCTGAGATCAGTGCATTCATTCATTCATTCATTCGTTCAGCAAAGTGACCTGAACCCTGGCATTGTGCCAGGAGTTGGGGACATACAGGGGAACAATAGAGCCTTTTGCCCACTAGGAACTCCTGGTCCATTTGGGGAAAGTTTATTTTCTGAATATGCACTTTAAATACAGTAAGAAAGTTTAAAACAGAGGTCAAATTTTCATCTATAGGATGGTGTTACTATCTAAACCACAATCACATGAAATGATATAGTCCTCAATGACTTGAACAAGATTAAGCCCCAAAAACAAAACAAAACAAAAAAAAACCCCAGCACTCTTCATTAGCTTCTTCTAGCAAAATTGACAGAGGAAACTGGTGTTTCTCAAGCTATGTTCCTCTACAACACTAGTGTCCCATGAAGTCCTAGGCAGATTCCTTGAACAAATATTAACTTTCCTAGGATCTGCAAGGTGGGCCTGGGACTCTCCATCCTGAACAAACTCCCCAGCAACTCAGATGTGTGGGTGGCTGAGGAAGGTTAGGGAGCAGAGCCCAGCCCTAGGGCGCTGCCTCTAGGATGAGTGGTTCCTGGGAAGACCTGGTTGAAGAGCCTGAAAGGAGGAGGAGAGGCAGGGCCAGCCCCCACCTCCACCTGTTCCCCTCAGTGCCTCCTGACCCTCCCCTACTGGTGACGGCCTCTACGACCCCTTTCTCTGTCACTGCTGTTATGGTTTCACTTGGAATAAAGTTAGTAATAAGATTGCTGATCTCTAATTTGTAAGTAAAAATATTACTAAAGAGACCTTTTATTTTAAAAGTCAAGAGTTTAAAATGTATACTCTGGCCTCCACTTTCCAATTTTCCATAGATAATCCCTATATATATGCCATTTCAAATTACATGGATGATTTTAGGAATTATCTGCTTTTTAATGATAATTCTTAGAAAATTGGTGGTTCATGCTGAAGCATGGCGATCACATAGATGAGAAGTTGAGCACACAGACGGACTGGTTTTCATGGTGGGTTGGGGGTCTCCAGGACTACCACCACATTCAGAGTTTCACCAGGACCCCCAGGATCCAGCATATAACTGTACTTACGGCTAAGATTTATTAAGGAGGTCCAGCCAGATGGGACAAAAGGACACAGCAGAGTCTGGAGGAATCCATGAAGTCCTCTCCCCATGTGGGATCCCGGAGAGCACTCCTCCCCCAGCAAGAAAAATGCAGCACCATGTGTGTGATGTTTCTGCCCAGGGAAGCCTGTCAGAGATTCTGTATCCGGGGATTTTGTTGGAGCTGTACTGGTAGGCACCCTCTGCCTAGCACGTAGCAAAACTCGACTCCCAGAAGGAAAGCAGATGTTCAGCATAAACCACGTTGCTTGCACAAACAGCCCAGGTTGTGAGCTACTCTTAGCAGTTAGGGATCTGTGGGAACACAGTCCACCTCACCAGCAGGCCTTTCAAAGGAGAGCGGGCTCCAGCCTGCCACATTGACTCTTCACTGCACACTTTGGATTATCGTTTGTAGCTGTTTTTCAGATGATTTCCATGCTGGTATCTCAGACCTATTAAAATATTTTTATTTATTTATTTATTTTTGTAGTCTCCCAAGCTGGGGTATAGTGGCGTGATCTCAGCTCACTGCAACTTCTGCCTCCCGGGTTCAAGCGATTCTCCCTCCTCAGCCTCCTGAGCAGCTGGGATTACAGGCGCCCACCATCATGCCCAGCTAATTTTTGTAATTTTGTATTTTTGTAGAGACAGGGTTTCACCATGTTGACCAGGCTGGTCTTGGACTCCTGTCCTCGGGTGATCTGCCCACCTCGGCCTCCCAAAGTGCTGGGATTACCGGCGTGAGCCACTGTGACCGACCAAAGATACTTCATTAAAGAAGCACATGCCATGACATAGTGTCTGCTAAGGAGAGACAAGTTCTGTACTGCAGGTCTTCTCAAAGCTTTTAGTACACTCAAAGCTTTTAGTACGCCCATCAGCAGCCCCGTGGAGGATCCAGCTACGCTTCTTTCACCCTGGAATATTTGTTCAAGGAATCTGCCTGGCAGTTCTTGGGACACTGGTGTTGTAGAGGAACATAGTTTGGGAAACACCAGTTTCCTCTGCTAATTTTGCTAGAAGAAGCTAATGAAGTGCTGAGTGGATTTGTTTTGTTGCTTAATCTTGTTCAAATTATTGAGGGGTATGTCATTCACGTGATTGTAGTTTAGATAGTAGAGTTACCTTATAGATGAAAATTTGGTTTCTATTTTGAACTTTATTTGTTTTCTTTTTGAGACAGGGTCTCACTCAGTCACCCAGGCTGGAGTGCAGTGGCACGATCTCAGCTCACTGCAGCCTCCACCTCCCAGGCTGAAGCGATTTTCCTACCTCAGCCTCCTGAGTAGCTGGGACTACAGGCATGCGCCACCACACCTGGCTAATTTATTTTAAATTTTCTTAGAGAGCTATCTTATTTAATAAAAGTAATAACAGATTCATGATCAGACATTAGAAATATATTGGGTTTATTCGTGTTTTCGTATGTATATGTTTTAGTTCTTGTTGCCTGCTCATAATGCAAAGTCTTTATTATCATTAAAAATTGTAAGTCCTGACGCTATTCTAATAATGTCAGAGTTCAAATTTATATCCTTGACAAATGTTTTTGATCGTGTCTTAACCCAGTAACCTGACACCTGTGAAAGCTGAGGGCGTTTTACAAGGCATTTTCCATAGAATTTTTCAAAGTTCTCCTGACAAATTGAAATGAAGAGTTCATAGAATATTCCCCACCACTGCAAGGATTTGTAGCATGAAATTTTATTATTCTATGCAGCTATAAATTCAAAATTGATTTAAATAAGCAGTTTGATGGCATATTTATAAAGGCATAGGAAAAAAAATCGTTTGATATTCTAAAGCCTGCGTTTATCCATGGTACAAATCATATCTTTTTGTCACTTTGAATTTGAAAGCTTTTATGAAATCTGCTTCTTAACTAGCTGCAGAAAATCCTTTTACCATATATATAAATTGGTAAATTCACTGAATAGCCTTCTTTCAATTTCTTGCTGTATTATATATAATGAAAGATGGCAGTTCCCATCAACACAGAATGTTGTCCCAATTTCCTGAATCCAGATTCATGGAGATGATCGTTTTTAATTCCATTACTAAAATGTATTAGAAAGTTTAAGTGTTCAGATTCTCACAAAGCCCACTGGACCCCAGTTTACCAGGAAATTTGGGGAGGAGGGGTTTAATGACCTTCATCATTTATAAAATCATCAGAGCTGATAAAAGAAGTAAAGCTTTGGGCCGGGCACAGTGACTCACGCCTGTAATCCCAGCACTTCGGGAGGCCAAGGCGGGCGGATCACCTGAGGTCAGGAGTTTGAGACCAACCTGGCCAACATGGTGAAACCCAAACCCTGTGTCTACTAAACAATACAAAAATTAGCTGGGTGTGATGGCAGGCACCTTAATCCCAGCTACTTGGGGGGCAGAGGCAGGAGAATCGTTTGAGCCTGGGAGACAGAGGTTGCAGTGAGTTGAGATCAAGCCTTTGCACTGAAACCTAGGGGACAAGAGCAAGACTTCTCTCAAAAAAAAAAAGAAGTAAAGCTTTGAAAGCTTCAAGACTTGTGCCTGCTCATGGTCATCCTAACCAGCTTAACTTGAAATACACCTGAGATGAAAGGTCACTGTGCCTGTACATTTCAGCAAACTATATGGGAACGCGGAAGGTCACTGTGCACTTGTATAAGTACCGTTTACTTCCTGGCATGAATAAATGTATCTGTGAGATGCACCACTTAAAAAAAAAAAAGACAATTTGTTAAGGATAAAATGTAAACCTGCCATACCAGTAGCTGTCTTAGAAAAATTGTTTCCATTCTTAAGAAGTTATGATGTATCACTTACAATTTCAAAAAGAGACTAGGCATAAATATGTAAAAAAATTTTCCACTATTATTTCAGAGATAGGAGTTTTGTTGTTCATTTACTTACTATGTGAACCATTCATATTTATCAGGGCTGCTGAAGATTTATTGTCACAAATTCAGGAAAATTACCAAAAGCCGCTGGAAGAATTGGAGGTATTGAAAGAAGCAACAAGCCACTTCCTTTCAAAGCACAACAGTGAACTAAAGGCGGCTGAGGTGCTTGTGAGGGAAGCCGAGGCAAAGACCCAGGAAAGCAACCACCTGCTGTTCATGGTCAATGCTAACCTGAGAGAATTCAGTGTGAGTCTCACTCTCTCTCTCCTCAATTATAACGGGTAACAAAATACTCCAACGTAAGCAATTAAAAGTGAGCCCTGGTCTGGCCAGGTGGCTCACGCCTGTAATCCCAGCACTTTGGGAGACCGAGGCAAGCAGATCATGAGGTCAAGAGATGGAGACCATCCTGGCCAACATGGTGAAACCCCGTCTCTACTAAAAATACAAAAATTAGCTGGGCGTGGTTGCGCGCGCCTGTGGTCCCAGCTACTCGGGAGGCTGAGGCAGGAGAATCGCTTGAACTCGGGAGGTAGAGGTTGTAGTGAGCCGAGATTGTACCACCGCACTCCAGCCTGGCAACAGAATGAGACTCCATCTCAAAAGATAAAATAAAATAAAAGTGAGTCCCGTGCACTAACTTCTGCACATAGCATTAGGCGCCAAAGGTCAGAAGCACAGTTGCTTTTATGAAACATCCTTAAAATGCCATTTCTGCTGCAGGATAAAAAGCTACATGTTCAAGAAGAACAAAATCTGACCTCAGAGCTCATCGCCCAAGGACAAGGACTGATAGATACTGCTGCTGCACAAACAGATGCTGTGCAAGATGCTCTAGAGGTGAGTTACCACTCAGCACGGCCACAGTACAGTTTTTAAAGAATCTTCACACATCTTGTCTATATGCACATATATCTGTTATTAAATAGATGTGCATATATTTACAATATTAATTTCTCCATGTAGCACTTAGAGCATCACCAGGATACGCTACTTTTATGGTCTGCCAAAATCAGGCACCACGTAGATGACCTGGTCATGCACATGTCCCAAAGGAACGCACTCGACCTGGTCTACAGCGCTGAGGACCATGCCGCTGAGTTCCAGAGACTGGCAGATGTTCTGGACAGGTAGGAACACGCCTTTGTGGGAATTCAAGAGTTTGCAATCTATTGATTAGAGAAAACAAAGATGGACTTTTTTTTCACAGTGATGGGTCACTCTTCCTTTGTGTAAAAATGAGCACTCCTCTTTTATTTACCTGGCAAGTTAGATTCCTTCATGTCTTTTAACATAGTTTACCATTGGCCTACATATCTGATGGAAAAATGCAAATAATGGGACAAGACTTAAAACACATAGTATGCAGCCGGGCACAGTGGCTCACGCCTGTAATCCCAGCACTTTGGGAGGCCGAGGCGGGCAGATCATGAGGTCAGGAGATCGAGACCATCCTGGCTAACACAGTGAAACCCCGTCTCTACTAAAAATACAAAAAATTAGCCGGGCATGGTGGTGGGCGCCTGTAGTCCCAGCTACTCTGGAGGCTGAAGCAGGAGAATGGCGTGAACCCGGGAGGCGGAGCTTGCAGTGAGCCGAGATCGTGCCACTGCACTCCAGCCTGGGCGATAGAGCGAGACTCCGTCTCAAAAAAAAAAAAAAATAGTATGCTACAGTTTCAAGCCATCAGGTCTTTATTAAGCACCTACTGAGTGCTCAGAGCTTTGTTAGGTTGCAGGTGGGACAGAATGAGGTTATTAATTTCTTTACAGATCCGGCCTTTTTGGAGTGTATTATTTGGGTGGAGGATGTGGCTGTCCACTCTCTCCTACAGAAGTGTTGGGAGTCCCTTTTCCAATCCCTGAGAGATACCACCTCCAATTATTTTCTACTGCCTGAAAGTCTGCCATTGTAATACCATTACTTTAGCTTATATTTTTTGGATATTTGAAAAATGTGTACTCAACTTGCTAAAAATGCCTTTAAATGAGAAGCACAATTTTAGCCAGCCGTTTCAAACTTGTCTGCACACTGGAATCTTCTGGGGAGCTTCTTAAGACACCAATGCGTTTGTTCCTTAGCTGCCTTCCCCACAAAGGTTGTGACTTAATGGGACTGGGATGTAGCCTGGGTTTTGTGATTTTTTTTTTTAAACCCTAAGGTGATTCTAATGTGCAGCAAATGTGGGACCTGAAGTTTTAGGTGTTACCAGTGATTTACACAATACTGTGAGTTAATTGGTAAATTTTTTTCTTTAAAATTTGCTATGCATTATGGGTGACAAGGCTGACCACACAGGGAAGATGTATGTTCTTGTGTGTGCATGTTCTGTGGAAAGGGAAAGATGCATATCTCCTTATTTGAAAAATGCTGACATAAAAGATTAGTTCACACAACAAAAGCAATTAAAAATGATATGATAGAATATTGCATGAATTATGTGCTAAATTGAGTACTGCTTCCTAATATGTCTTGGGGATCAGTAGTGGAAAATGGCATGAGATACTAGCTTCTCTCTTCTCATCAGTTTTCATCATTTCCCCCACAGTGAAAAACATGTTCTGACTCCATACCTAGCTAAAACAAAATCCCTATTACTTTGTATGACTAGTAGAAGCAATTTGTTGTGATAACACAAAGTTAAATTAGTATATTTTATTTATAAATCATAGAATTTTGCCAGTCCAATAGTAACAAGCAATAACTGCTAATATTTGGTCTGGGAATTACCCGACTCAATAACCTTGGAAAGAAAATGAAGTGAGTTACTCAGCAGGCAAAGATGTGCCCATTGCCAGAGTTTATTTTCAAGATCGAGAACACTGGATGACCTTGTGCCATGACCGGTTACCAAGTTCCTAAGTGACGTGCCCACTTGTTAGAATGACGTTGAGCTGATTGAAATATTAGCTGATCTTCCTCCAGAATTTCTAGTGAATTTTGTAAAATTGTCATGCCATTTGAGGGATAAGATTCAGCGACCTCAGGTATGCTTAGGAACACTTCTTGGAGGTTAACAAGTGTGTTGCAGGGAGTTTATAACCAATGCAAACATGCAACGGCACCCCAGACATGCACAGGGGGTTGGAACAGAGATTGAGGAATGCTGAGGGCAGCTTGTGGAAAGTGATGAATGGTTGTCTAAGGGAAACAGCAATAGTCTCTTCTTGGGTATTGATTAAATAGCAGTTCTGAGTGTTATTATGACAAAGTGGCTATGGCTTCTCAAAGATTGCTTTTGAAGGTACATGGGAACCCACAGGTTGTTATTTTTTATGGATGATACTCTTCTAAGGGGAAAGAAGATAGGAGGTTTTCAAGACTAGTAGGCATTTATGATTTTTGTGAGTGAATCGGCAAGTTTGATTTAGCTTATCGTAACGTATCTAAATATGCTGCTTTGATAGTGGCCTTGAAAATGTCAGAAATGTGTCCCTGAATGCCACCAGTGCAGCCTATGTCCATTACAACATCCAGAACCTGATCGAAGAATCGGAGGAACTGGCCAAAGATGCTCACAGGACTGTGACTGAGATGAGCCTGGTAGGAAATGCCGTGGGCTTCTTTTTCTGGGCTCTGTGGGAGATTGTTCTGTACCCGGTTTGAACAGAGATTCAGTGGCCCCCATTTCTGCCTATTAACATTCTTTTCTGGTGGAATCTGTTTCTGGCTTCTGTCATCATGTGATCTGTGCTTTAATTTTTTAAGATCGTAACTACTTCTTTATACAGACTAGAAACCAGCGTAGAGATGAGAACAATCTCACATTTCCTTGAGCTAAAAATGATAATGCTACTTGATACCTACTGGAGACAGTTTTCTTTAACCACGGTGAAAATCTCTATTGAATGGCTAGTTTCCTTCCTTACCTACTTAAAAATGTCTTTGTGTTCTCTTGCCTCAGCCATTTGAAATTGTCCCTACCTGGTACCTGGCTGACTTTCTTGCTGGGAATGTGGCTGGGGGCTACTCTGATGGAGTCACTTCCTCCATCCCCAGCAGGACTCCATCTGCCCTGCTCTCACCATGCTTAAGCGGTTCTGTTTTCCAGCTCTCAGAATCCCTTGTTTCTAATGGGAAAGCGGCCGTGCAGCGCAGCTCCAGATTTCTAAATGAAGGCGACAACCTCAGCAGGAAGCTTCCAGGTCAGCGTGTGGCTGGGACGGTGTAGACAGGCAGAGTGAGCATGAGCATCTCGCTGAGCAACCTCTAAGAACGTTCTCTTTGCATGCAGCAACTTGAAACTTAGCATTTCTATGTCCTATTTATATTCCGATTTCCTATCATATAAACTTTCCTATCATATAAACTTTCCTATCGTATAAACTTCCTATCACATAAACTTCACATAATTTGGCATTTTTATTCTAGTGATATCTGTTCCTTTATTGTGCAGTCATCTCTATCTTTAACCTGTCCTTAATCCTCCACTCATCGCCTTAGCTTGGAGCCTTCACTGTTCTTCCTAGTGTCTCTTGGGTTATCTTTGATTGTGTGCACTCCTTTATTTTTCCTTGAAGAGATATATTATGCTTGATATTTGTTTTACCTTTCTCATGGGACTAATATCATGTTAGACTCATGGTAGGTTCTCGTTTAATAATTATTACATTAAATCATAATTGATTTAGCCATTTTTCAAAAAATATCTATGCAGTTAATTTGTCCTAAAGTTTCAAGAAAGAATGACTTGGCATATGTAAAAGCAATCCATCCAATAAACATAAACCAAAATGGCATCAGGAATCTGTTATGTAAGAGAAACTATGTAGGCATACTTTTTTAATAACAAATAACATGCTTTCCATCTTAATATGTTCTAATCGATCAAAAATACCAAGATTTCTGGAGGAGTAAATAGTGGGCCATACTCACAGCTCATTCCCTTTACAGGTGACTTACTTCCAAGTCTGACACTGGATCCTTCCACAACTGTCTGAACCAAAGGCTTGGATATGTGCATAAATTTTTTTTCTCATTGAGTGACACAATTTAAAATTTATGTTGGCATCTCACAGTATCGAAAATGCATAATGTGTTGATGGGCTATAATTTCAGTCTGTACAACTAGAGGTACTTCATAGGTAGTGAAATTGGGAGCTTGCTGGCAATTAAAATTTCATGTTTTCACCATGTGCTCAAAATCAAAATGTGATTGTATGTTATGAACAGAAATTTTAAAAGTAAAAGCTGTGATCAAACTTGAGAAGGAGGTTAAGTTGAGTTCCAGTTGGGTGGCCAGAAGGGAATAGAAGGGGATGGAGGATTGGCCAGAGATGCAGGTGGGAGACTATGAGGAAGACTCCCAGGTGGGAGCCCACCTTAGGGGTTTGACAACCCAGAGGAGAAAGGTGACCAAGATTCAGATGGGGATAGAAAGTTAGTGCATCTGATTAAGATTGAGTGACTTAAACACAGCTCTTGGTCCTTGAGCTCTAGTAAAATTGGACATGAAATTTAAGTAGAAATATTAGTGAGAAAGTCAACAAGCAAAGTAGAGAAAATGATCGAGCAAGCTAGAAACACATTCTTAATTTCTTTTTTGTTTTTTTGTTTTTTTGGTTTTTTTTTGAGACTGGAGTCTTGCTCTTTCTCCCAGGCTGGAGTGCAGTGGCACTATCTCAGCTCACTGTAAGCTCCACCTCCCGGGTTCACGCCATTCTCCCGCCTCAGCCTCTTGAGTAGCTGGGACTACAGGCGTCTGCCACCAGGCCTGGCTAATTTTGTGTGTGTGTGTGTGTGTGTGTGTATTTTTAGTAGAGACAGGGTTTCACCGTGTTAGCCAGGCTGGTCTCAATCTCCTGACCTCGTGATCCACCCGCCTCAGCCTCCCAAAGTGCTGGGATTACAGGTGTGAACCACCGCGTCCGGCCCACACTCTTAATTTCTATAATGAATGTTGCTCAGTCTTGCTGGAAAAACTGTCAATATTGGGAGTCTCTTTAGAAAACTATGAATTCTGTAGATGGTCAAGAATGACAAAGCTGTTGCCTAGGCAACCTTTTAGTAGGCTAACCTGAAAGGAAACATTTTTCTCCCTTTAAATAGTTATTGCATTGGAACTGAGTGAACTGAGAAATAAGACAAACAGATTTCAAGAGAATGCTGGTGAAATTACCAGGCAGACCAATGAATCAGTCTTGATACTCAGAGCAATTCCTGAAGGTAAGTGGAAAAGACGTTCTTCTTTAAATCACGTCTTCTCACTGTAAAAGCATCACTCAGGAGCATAAGGAAGTCCTGCCTCAAGACTGGTCAAGGCGCTAGCTCAAAAATGAGACTAAGATTGACAAAATTTTTACTTGGAAAGGAGTAAGACTTAGAAATGAAAACCATTGGTTTTTTAAAATAACATCACAATACTTGCATCAAACTGCTAGAATTTATAATCTTAAAAACAGAGATTGCATAGTACCATCTGAATTGCTTACTTTTGAAATGCTTGACACATTGCTTAGAGGAAGAAGGACCATTGAAAGAAGTCCGCAAGTAAAGAAGCTGGAATGTGCTTTACCTGCCTAAGGGGAAAATGCCAGATTCATTATCAGTGTGGCAAACTGAAGACTGCTTGCTTGGCCGTCTTCCTTAGTGAGGCAGTAAAACATTAGGCTCACTGATCACTTTAATGCTGATGGTTTAGAAATGTGGTATTCTTGAAAATTTTAAATAGGGTAATTTTTTAAAGGCTAATACAAATGAATTGCGCGGCACCTCAAACTTCTTTTTTGTTCTTTTGTTGTCTTTTACTTCTAAAGTTTCTATTGTTTTATGGAGACCAGGTCTTGCTGTGTTGCCCAGATTGGCCTTGAATTCTTGGCCTCAAGCGACCCTCTTGCCTTGGTCTCCCACAATGCTGGATTACAAGCGTGAGCCACTGTGCCCATCCTCCTTTTTTGCTTAATAAACATCTTTTGAAAAAGTCTTATAAAGTGCTCAAAGGAGCACTTTAAAAGTGCTTTAACGCCCTTAAAAACAAGAAGCCCAAAGTCCTCCTGTCTGCCGGGCTTCTGTGTGTAAGCATGGAGTCACCTGGGGAAACTGGGCGTCCTGTCTGCCGGGCTTCTGTGTGTAAGCATGGAGTCACCTGGGGAAACTGGGCATGCTGCGTTGGGCTTACTTCTTACCTTGAAACAATGAAGCATTTTCTGATCTGGAAGACTTCTTTTTCCTTTTCTTTTTTTATAAGGATGCCATGGTATATTTTGACTAAATGCTTAATAACATTTTTATTTGAAAATAATTTTGAGCTTACAGAAAAGTTGCAAGGAAAGTAAAAAGGCCACCTGTATACCCTTTTTCCAGCTTTTTCTGCTGTAAATGTTTTGCCCCACTTGTGATTAAATGCTTCAAAAATGAATGATAGTGTCTTTTAAAAATCCTCACCCAGATTTTCTAGAATAACTGAATTCTAATTTACCTGGAGTGGCTGTTTAGACTTTCTTCTGCTGTTACTTCTAGCAGCCAATTGATGCTATGGGCAAATACCTCTTCCTGTAACTTAAGACATTCCCACCTCAGCTGCAGAACTAGGATCCAAATCCTTAGTATCCAGACATGAAAGGAGGTGGAGAACATGTTTCATGAAGGTGAGAAGGGCGTGATGGAAAAGGACCCAAATAAAGAAATGTAGCTGATTAAGATGTAAGACACAGATCACACGGCGATTGGTCATCACTTTTGTGATCTCATTGTGTACTGAAATCATATTCCAGAGAAGTAGTAACAAAAATTATTTCATTTGTCCCTAAAAGGGGATAGTAGAGCACAAGATATGCAGTTTTAATATTGCCATTAGAAACAAGAAGCTCTTAGGTCATTGACCCCTGCCCGAAAGAAAAAAAGCAAACAAGCCAGCCTCAGTTTGTGTTGAGCATCAGTAATATGACAATAATGTATTTCTGTGCAAAATTACATTTGTTGTAGTTTTATTTTCTCTGTGTGTAAGCAGCAAAAGTGCATGCTTGTGTATACATTTATTTTAGATACAAGAGACAAAGGAGCCAAAACCAAAGAGCTGGCCACGTCTGCAAGCCAGAGCGCGGTGAGCACGCTGAGGGACGTGGCAGGGCTGAGCCAGGAGCTGCTGAGCACATCTGCCAGCCTGTCCAGGGTCAACATCACATTACAAGAGACGCACCAGCTTCTGCAGGACTCCACCATGGCCAGTATGTCAGCGCCCTTCCTTCCAGTCATGACCGTCTGTGTCATGCAGACATGGAGCTAGCTAAGCACACAGTGGTGCGTTGTTCACAACATTCCTGAAAAGTAGCAGTATGCCGATGTCTGGATTAGCCTTTGTAAAGAAAAGGGCCTTAGTCTATGCGTGCTACCGGTGCAGTTTTCATCTTCGTACCAAAATGTCATGGATTTGATTATTAGGGTGTTGTTTTACCCAGTGCATTGTTAATGGACAATTAATTATCTTGTTTTTCCCTCTCCCCAACTATCTTGCCACCCCTTGCCTTCTTGTATTTGTTAGCTCTGTTGGCTGGAAGAAAAGTCAAAGACGTGGAAACTCAAGCCAACCTTTTGTTTGATCGGTTGAAGCCTTTGAAGATGTTAGAAGAGAATCTGAGCAGAAACCTATCAGAAATTAAACTGCTCATCAGCCAGGCCCGGAAACAAGCAGCTTCTGTGAGTTTGGGGCCCCGTGGCTTTCATCACTGGGCTCTCAGTCGTGTGGAATCCCAGGGAATTCATGCAGACGTGGCTCTCAGCCACACGTGGCTCTCAGCCACACTGTGTCCCTTAGGCCTTCCAAAGACCCAGATCCTAATAATCCGGGCTTCCTCATAGCCCTGTCTTGGTATATTTAAAGCCAATAACTAACTTCATTTTCTTTGAGTTCTGCTTTTATTCAACATGCTTCAAAATGTTGTTAGCAAAGAGATGTCCATGTCTTTATGGAGATTTATCATTATAGACTAAATTTAAAACTATTAGCCTGGATAGTGCAGAACATGTCGAATCTACATGTTAACATTTCTCTAAGTTTATGGGTTGCATATGGTGTTATTTCTTCATTTTACCAACTTAGTTTTAATAATCCAAATATTCTTTAAAGTGTTTGTGTAGTATGGGCCTCATCCTTGAGGTGTCTGGGAAAACAATTTGTATGCGACAAAGGCTGCACAAATCCAGGTCACTAAATGCCTGAAGCACTGGACACCTGGAGCAGTTCACACGTGAGAAGATGTTTTACCCGTGGCACATGGCACTGGCTGTGCCCTAAGGGAAAAAGTTTCCTTTTGAGAGAATGTGCAATCATCATGTGACTGGGGACTTCCAGAGGATGAATGCAGCCTCTGGGCTTGCATTTGGCCACCTCAGGCTTTCTAGGGAAGAGAAAGGAGCACACGCTCTGTCTTTTCCTCTCAAGTGTCCTTGCTATTGAAAAAGGAATGTTGGTTTCCATGAGCTCTGGCTTGCATCTGTTTCAGTTACAGTTGCTAAATAAATATAGGCTGGGCATGGTAGCTCACATCCATAACTCCCACAATTTGGGAGGTCGAAGTGAGAGGATTGCTTGAGGCCAGGAGTTTGAGATGACCCTAGGAAACATAATGAGATCCTGTCTCTACTAAAAAAAAAATCATAATAGCCGGGCTCGGTGGTGTGAACCTGTAGTCCCAGCTACTCAGGAGGCTGAGGCAGGAGGATTGCTCGAGCCTAGGAGTTCAAGGCTGCAGTGAGCTATGATCACGCCATTGCACTTCAGCCTGGGCAACAGAGCAAGACCCTAAATAAATAAATAAATAAATAAATAAATAAATAAATAAATGTAAGCCCAAGGAATGCTTCTTGATGCTATGGTTAATACCAAACTTAGACTCTTTAAGACTAATGTAAGATACATATGCGAAGAATTACTAATCAAAGAAATATGTAGTAAGTACAATAATTGCTCTATAAATACCTGCTGAGTGAATAAATATATTACCTCTCCATTTATTCACCAGATGATTATCAAATATCCTCTTTGTGTCAGGCAGAAAGATTCCAGGGTGATAAAATCCTTGTCTTTAAGGAATTAAATCTTATGTGAGCGAGACCTATATAAAATAACTTATTAAAAACTAACACTGGTTTTCTCATATTTAAACACTTTACCAAATGAAATCATTTTTATTACCATCTGATATGTCACTTCATGAAACATGAACCATTGTGTATTATCAAGAGAGGAAACCTGCCTCAGTGAAAATTCATTTCAGAATAGCGTTGTTGAGCTGCTGGTGAGCTGCCGGTGTGCGTCGCCAAATGATGAGGACACTTTCATTTTCCTTCTACAGATTAAAGTCGCCGTGTCTGCAGACAGAGATTGCATCCGGGCCTACCAGCCTCAGATTTCCTCTACTAACTACAACACCTTAACACTAAATGTTAAGACACAGGAACCCGACAATCTTCTCTTCTACCTCGGTAGCAGCACCTCTGTAAGTTATGGACATTTGGAAAGCAGCACTGAATTTTTTGTGCACTTCTAGATTTTTCTGAATTTTCACTTATTTGGTGAAAAAAAAAAAAAAAAATGGGCCTTAGCGAAGTCTCTAAATCTCCCATAGGGACTAACCTTTGTTAAAATGGTAGCATTAGATTAAAAATGAGCAAACGACCAAATTGAAAGCCTGTGAGAAGAGAAGTGACATTTCTGAAGGACGGCATCTTAACTGCAAGCCCTGGGGATGGAACGTTTTTGTGATTCCCCCAGTGACCCCTGGAGTGACTATCAGAATTGTCAAGCTTCTGTCAGGTTTTTCTTGCCAAGAATTCCAGTGGTCCCCAGATGGCAAGTGCCTGTGGAAGGTCTTTGATACATTGGCTGTGCCAGCGAGAACAGGTCAGAAGCCTTGGGTGTGTAGGGCAGAAAATGTTAACAAGCACACAGAGTGTCTGAAATGTCTTCAGGAGATAAGATGCAAAGCACAGGCAAGCCTGTGACAGGGGTGGGACCTCATGGCTCCTGTCTTACTGCATGTTTCACATCCATTTCTTACCTCGGACACTGGGCAGACAAGCAAGCTCAGTGCCTTCCCTGGTGCTCCCGGTGGACTGCCTGTGACCCGCAGCGAATTTTCCCGGGGACTCTATGGGAGGTATTGAGGAGGACCAGGCCAGGCACGCAGGGAGGCGCTAATGTCCCCGGGGCTGAGAGTCATGCCCCAGCTCCAGGGAGGGGACCATTTCAAACAAAAGAAAATAGATTTGGGGGTTTTGTTTTTTATTTATTTTTAAGAATAGAGAAAACACCATAAGAATTGACTCTGTAAAGTGTGGTGGTGGTTGGCAAACAGTGTGTAAACTGATCCCCGTTCATGCCCCGCCCCCCAGTCTGATTTCCTTGCAGTGGAGATGCGGCGAGGGAAAGTGGCCTTCCTGTGGGACCT